AGTAACAGTGGTTGATAATGAAATTGTGGATACCGAACTGACGCAAACCATGTATTTCTTTTCTCTGGATGTAAGGAAGGGGCTGAACTGGACGAGTTTTCTGAAGTTGTTCGCTCCACGGCTCCACCATCCACGCGGTTTCTTAGACTGAATTTCCGTGTTAATATTCAGATTCGCGTTTATATGTGTCACAATTTGTCGGTAGAGCCTTTTTCAAAACATCCCCAGATGCAAGTTTTTGGGAAATTTGTAGGTGGAACTATAATTATGCGTCGCAGTGTAGTCATTGTTCCTTGATAGCGAAGCAGTCGGCTAACAAGTACCATCCAGGCTCGACTGAGGAAATGGATTCTCACCTGTGCTCAGCCCAACCGCCACCTTGTCCTGCTCTCCACGTCATCGTCGTCAGTCTGCTACCAGAAATTCTGTGAAAAGCTCATCATAACCGGATCAGATGAAGGTTCGACTTTTTATTCAATTGACGGTTTTCAGCTAACTTCCAACTCACGCTCCCTCACATCTGTGTTCCTCAGATGAGTCGGTAGCACTGGTGGAGATTTTTCACAAAAACAACACCATCGCGTCATCACAGTCCGATTGCCGCTTTGTGAGCTCTCGCTACGATGGCCAATGCCCCACAGTGACCGCTTCGGAGGATCAGGAAATACGAACGCTATCAGCCAACCCCAGGAAGGGTAGGAACGATTTCCAGTATGTTCATTGCTTCACGTCTTACGTTAAGATGAGTTTGTTTTTCAGTGCTCGCCCACATAGCCACCATTCAAGTCCCATGGAATGTGCTATTCCTCAAAGGTAAGAATGAAAGGGTTTTCATAAGCAATACATAAGGGAAGAAGTGAAGATCGAGCAGTGTCACTTGTTGTGAAACAACCTTCGTGGCCCATTCGCTGCTCCAATAACTGCTGAGTCAAGATGAAAACTGAACTGTCCACTAGCTGCTACTAACAGAGCAGAACTGAAACACAATTTTGATTTGTGTTGTTTGATAACTGCTGTTCCAATGCCGCAGTTCGCATTGCAAATGTTTCACAAGAATACTGGTTCATAAATAAAACTTCCGCCCCAGGCGGAACTAGGACCATGCTAGAAAATTTAAACTTTGTTCGTTATCTATGTCCGGCGATGCGGCTAATAAGCTGAAACGTGTGAGTGCTGAAAGCTATGGTACGTATACCATGAAAAGCTGAGTTGGGATGAAATGGTGCCCCGGTAGCGTAACTGGTAGCGCACTTGCCCGGAAAGCGAGAGGTGCGGGTTCTAGTCCCGCCTGGGGCGAAAGTTTTGTTCACAACCCAGCATTCTTGAGAAATACAACTGTCTACCATTCCTTACAGATGTGCTCGATCATTTGAACACCTACACATTGGCATTGTCGAAAGAGTTGGGACGAGTGATTTGCATCACTGGAACAGCGTTCGACCGTAACTTTGACGGGATAGCCGACGCTAACAAAACGTTCGTCTTTTTCGTATGTTTACTATGCTAGTGTCAAGGCAATATTGTCGCAACCCATCCTCGGCATACTCGAAATTTCTGCATTCACAACTAGAACCTATTACCCGAGTAGATTAGGTCCACTCTCGATAACAGCGGGACACTGGAAGGCACATTCAGGTTCGAGTAATTGTGTGTTCTGTATACGGCAAAACCGCACTACGCGCTGATACATGGGCAGGGTTTGTGCCCTCCCTCAAGTGTGTTCCATTGGTTTGTTCCACCTTTTCACTGTTCTGCACTGCATTCCACGATATCAAGGAGAAGAGCCGGTGTCCCCCAAGAGGCCCATCGCGCGGCGAAGGAAGAGACGCAGATGCGGCAAAGGACGAGTCGCAGCGCGTGCTGTGCGATATGAGACGTAGTATGGTACACTCTATTTAACCTGACGCCTAACCGCTACAGTATGCGCTGCGACTCGTCCTTTGCCGCGTCTGCGTCTCTTCCTTCGCCGCGCGATGGGCCTCTTGGAGGGCGTCCCGAAAGAGCCGAGCAGTGGGACTCCTCAGGGGAAAGCGCAAACCGCGCACATACGATCAGAGCGCAATGATGACGGTTTCTAATCAGTGTTTTGCTCCGTTTATTACTGGCTAGCCAATATCCAGAAAAGTTATACTTCCGGGGCAATCCCAAACCGATTCACGCATGCGTTCAAGGGATCAAAGTAAATAAACTCTCGCTCAATTCTGTGCTACGGCGTACTCTAAAGTGTTGCGGTGCTTGTTGAGGAGGGTCATTAAAATGGGAAATCAATCGGCTTGAATCGCGTAAAATGCCAAACTGTTTTGCGGTTCTATAAATTTTGCCATTACTTTTCTTGTGCTCCTCCTTCGGTGGTAAGTTTACGACCGCGATGGATAATGGCGATTAACTCTTATACTAGGGCTTTTTTCAGAATTGAGTTACCAACGTGTTTTGCATAGCAATTATCGCTTTTTGCAATAGAAAATCACGTATAGAAATTCGGCTACTTATATGGATTCGACCTGGAATTTGACCCAGGGACCATACGTGCTGTAGCAGCTACTTTTTCACTACGCCATCTTCGCTCAAATGAATATTTTGCAGAAGTGGACAACTTAATTACCATTTAC